TTCTTTCCCTTGTACAATGAAATGTTGGTTCCTGTTTAAGAAAACTCCATTTCAATTACTGTCATTTTTTACCAGTTATCTTCTGTAATGAAGACCTCAATTTATCTATATGTCAATTTATCAAGAGTTGTTATAGTCATATGTTGGGGTTTGATGGGGAAATACAGAGAAGTTCTATAATTCAGAAACTCATAGATTTCAGTGTGTGTGTGAAGGAGTGTCTCCTGTTTATTAGGGACTATGGAGTTAAAAACATATTATAATTATTAACTAATTAGGCTAGACTGAGTTTTCATTTGAGAGAATTGGACCAGAACTCCAAAAACTTGTCTAAAACTTTGCTTACTTTGGGGTAAGAACTGTAGATAATTTAACCAGTCTCCTACTCTACATTTTTCTATAATTTATCTACTTTCTTTACCAATCATTCTCTAATACCAAATTTTAAAAAATTGATTTTAGAGAGAGAGGAAGATGGGGGGAGGAGAGAGAGAGAAACATTGATTTGTTGTTCCATTTATTTATGCATTCATTGGTTGATTCCTGACCAGGGATTAAACCCATAACCTTTTTGGGGACAACACTCTAACCAACTGAGCTATCCAGCCAGGGAGCTATCCGGCTAGGGATCTAATACCAAAATTTTTTGTTGTTGTTAATCCTCACCTGAGGAAATTTTTTGAGAGGATATTCATTGATTTTTAGACAGAATGAAAGGGAGGGGGAGAGACAGAGAGAGAGAAATGTTGATGTGAGAGCGACACTGATTGGTTGCCTCTTGCACACTCCCAGACTGCGATCGTGGATGGAGCCTATAACTGAGGTGCATTGTGCCCATGACTGGAATTGAAAAGCGGACCCTTCAGTTGGCAGGCCAATGATCTAACCTTTGAGCAACCTCCTAGGGCTCTAATACCAAAATTTTTAACAGGTAATACTTTGAGGCAAAAAAATGAGAAAACTAAAGTCAAAGTATTGAAGTTTTCATCAAGGTAGATTTATCCAATTCAAAATTATTAGCTTTTGTTTTAAGATTATATTCATTCTTGGTTTTAAAATATGCTTTCATGTAACAAAGGTAATTTTTTCAATAACCTTATTGACAAAAATTTAAAACCTGATTACTCACTTTATTTTTTATGAAAATTCAAGAGTTTTGGAACCTAGCCAACTCAGAGATCTTTCTGAAATTCTTATTTAATTATGTCACTGTCTTGCTTTAAATCCTTCAGGGTAGACTACTGTGACCTACAGCAATATAATACCACTGGGGTTTTCAATCCATATGTGCATTATTTTCTCTAGATTAAACAAAATACCTTATTCATATTTTTTCCCTAAATTTTCAAATGTATAAAGATACTCTTATGATGATGAATTTATTTTAAAAGTTTGACTGACTTTCAGTAGCCTTTTGTCATTATATTTTTTGCAATTATATAACTCCTATCATGTGTGGAACACATTAAAATGCCTCATCAGTAAAGATAAAACTATAAGGGGAAAATTTTATTTGATAATATAATAATTTAAAAAATTTTTAAAAATATATTTTATTGATTTTCTACAGAGAGAAAGGGAGAGAGAGAGCTAGAAACACCGATGAGAGAGAGACATCGATCAGCTGCCTCCTGCACATCTCCCACTGGGGATGTGTCTGCAACCCAGGCACACGCCCTTGACCGGAATCGAACCTGGGACCCTTCAGTCCTCAGGCCGACGCTCTATCCACTGAGCCAAACCGGTTTCAGCAATAATTAAAATTTTGATACAGTAAGAAAACATATAAACCTCATTGAAAGATAGAAATATATGTAGAAAATATATTCAATACACTGTATTTGAAAAATTAAGATATATAATTGTTACCATGAAGAGATTTTATCACTCAATAATAAAATAATACTGCAAAAGGAAAATCAGTAAGGAACATTGATAGCAATTCACAAAAGAAATATCTTCCAATTAATATGAAAAAAGTTCATCTTTACTAAAAAGAAAAGTTTTAACCTAAAACAAAATGATTTTTGCCCAGTTGCTGTGGTTCAATGGTTGAGCATCAACCTATGAACCAGGATGCCAGGGTTTGATTCCCGGTCAGGGCACATGCCCACATGGTTAAATTATCTACAGTGGGCTACCAGTATATCCCCAGTGGGGGGCGTGCAGGAGGCTC